GAAATGGCAGCCACAGATGAAAGTGAAACATCAGGAATACGTTCTTCTAGAACATGGCCTCACAGCCCGAAAAACCCATAAAAACCAACCACCAGTTCCTTTAAGAGACCAGTCTTCCCTGCCATGGTTAATTTTTCTTATTATAACCATGACCATCCCTTTTCAGTCACTACCAGTTTTCAGTTGTTGTTATTTTTAAATCCCTTTCTCTGGTTGTTCAGAAACAAAACCACAAAACCATATATGGAGAAAATATGTCTTTCCTGGGAACATGATCAAGCAAGAATGAGCCATAAAAATGATAGCCAGCTTTAAGGGCAAGGAGACATAAGTGTGAATTGAGAGCAGCAGTGAGGAAGGGAGTTCCCAAGATGATATCATTCTGAACTTTAAAAAACTTTGCCAGACAGCTTTCAGTTCAGCCTTCAAGCAACTGAAAGGAAATTCCATTGGAGGCAGAGAGAAATTGCATATGCACCCTGCCCTTTGCTTATCTTCACATTCCACTCTGGAAAAAATACAGAAGTCTTGATTCATGCCAGACCCATTCCAGAGGCATATATAGATCAGTGGCTTCCATGTCAGTGGGGTAATTAATCTGCTCTGGATTTTTGTCTGAACTTTGAAGGATTTATCCAAGGTTATGAACCCTACCCATCACAGATCATTCTGTACAAGGTGCTGAACCTTATGCAGAAGATGTTGGATCTACTCTTGGGGCACTCTGAATCACTCCTTTAAAATTCATACTAAAACTCAAGTGGATTCACCACTGCAGCAATATGGGATCCATTAGCTGCCAGTACAATCATACACACCTGATCCATTCTAAATAGTGAGACATTCCACTACTCATCTGTAGGGAACTCAAAAATCCTAGCCTTCATTTTGATTCATCAAATTCTTCACTCCTGAACAGCATTTCATTCTGCAAGGTGCAGGTGTGAGTCAAATATAGTCAGCCCTCCACATTTGCAGCTTTAACTTTTGTGGATTTGATTAATATGTTCTTTCTAGGAATCTTTAGGAAAGACATCCCACCACCTCTCTAGGCAATCAGTTCCACTGCCACAGCACTCTTATCATGTTCCTTCTAAAATTCAAGATTTTAGATTTTCAAAATTCAAGACAAGATGTTCCTTCTAAAATTCATCTGAAATTTATCCTCCTGTAACTTAATACCATTAGACCTGGTCCTACCCTCTGGGGCAGCGGAGAAAAAATCTGGCCATTCCACTCTGTGACCATCTTTACTCTTGCACTGTCTCCATTACAACTTTAGGATTTAGCAGGAGGACTGTTTAGGCCACCTGGAACTAGAAAAGTAGATCTCTATACTATGTCCTTTCCTGACACCTCACATGTCTTAGCTGAAACGGCTCAACCTCCTTTCCCAAGATTTTGGAATACTGGTATTCGCAGATACATGCATAATGAAGTGCTGTATTTTGAAGATGGGACCCAACTCGAAACACAAAAATAATTTATGCTTCATATGTACCTTATACGCATAGCCTGGAGGTAATTTTACATAATATTTTTTAATAATTGTGTACATAAAACAAATATGAAGGGGTATCGTAAAGTAATAATTATCACCCAGAGGTTATTATGGTATATTGATGAAATTTTCTCAAGTGTCATTATTGGTCCCTAAGTGCACGATGATGATAAAATCAGCTCTTTGTGTGCTTTATTTTTATTTTTATTTTACAGGTTGTGCCAGAAGTGACTAAAGTGTAAGATGGAGAAGATTGAGGCTCACAGCATGATAAAGTTCCTACATTTGAAGGGTAATAGTGCCTGGCAAATTCACGATGAGATGATGGTAGTTTATGGAAATGATTGCCCATCTTATGACACTATTGTCATAGTGGACCTGGAAGACCATCATTAACTGACAATGCAGCCACAGTAAAGAAAGTGGAGTGTTTCATCTCAGAAGACAGATGAGCAATCATCCAAATGATCATGAATGAAACTGGTCTCAATTATGGTAGTGTGTGGAAAATTATTCATGACAAACTGCATATTCTAAAGTGTCTGCACACTGGGTTTCATGTTTGCTAACCCCTTTCCAGAAACAAACACAACATGATCTTTCATTGACGCTGTTGGAACAGGATGAAGAGGATTTTTTGGCTGTCTGGTAACCATAGATGAATCTTGGATCTATCAGTATGATCCAAAGACCAAAACCATGAGCATGGAGTGGAAGCATGCTGATTCCCCTCCCCCCAAAAAGGCAAAGGGGAAAAAGTCAGCAGGGAAGGTACTGCTCTCAGTTTTTTGGAACTGTCATGGAGTCATTCTCGCAAATTACCTTGCAAAGGGACAAACCATCACTGGCACATACTACAGCAATCTTCTGGACAAGTTACAAGATGCTCTGAAAAAGCAATGCCATGGCTCTCCAGAGGCATTCGTCTCCCAGCTGACAATGCACCAGCTCACTCATCTCAAGTTGCAGTAAAGAAAACAAGGGCATGTAGCTTTGAGATCTTATAGCATCTGCCTTACTCTCCTGACCTCGTACCAAATGACTTTTTCTTGTTCCCAGATATGAGAAATCTGTTGCGGGGTTGCCAATCTGACAACACAAATGATGTCATTCATGAAATGGAAGAGTGATTTAAGGCGCAATCCACAGACTTCTAAAATAATGGTATTTGGAGGGTCAAGAAATGCTGTGAAAAATCAAACTACAAATCAAAACAAAAGTTCTGTCGAAAATTTTAAAGGTGATAATTAAAACTTTACAATACTCCCTCGTACTGCATGCACTGAACTATCAGAAAGCAAAGGTGTTACTATCTCAGTAGTCCATCAAAAAGTTTCAATTTCTGGAATGTTTTGGATTTAGGACAAGAGAGACTCAACCTGTGTATGTATGTGTATATGTGTGTATGTACACACACACACAAATACAAGAGTGAGGAAAGAGAGTTGCATTTCCCATGCTACTGTGATGGAATTTCCCCTTTTGCAGTGCCTCATCCAGATTCAGATCCAGGCTCCGGACGTGGCAGTTCTACCTGGCAAGGAGAGGCTGTAGCTAACTTCTGCTTGGCAACACAGGGAGCTCCACCCTGGCATGAGTCTGAACTGTACACAAATACTTGGACCCAACACCCTACTGAATTTTAATATCCCCAGCCAGAGAGAAGCCTGTCCTAAGTGCAGAGAGAGGAGGAGGAACTTTAATGACAGAAGCATTTCTGAAGATTGAAATTTGCACTTGCTAAATATAGGCACAGCTAACAGAAACTACGAATGCTGATTTCTGGCTCACTTCACATATTGCATGCACATTCAGACACCTGCTCAGAGATAGAGAGAGATTGTAAGAGCACTTTGCCCTCAGTCTCCACCTTTTGCTGGAACCTTCCTCCTGAAAGACTAGGATCTTGGCACCCTTCCTCACTCTAACTCAATATTTATGTATTGACATTTCTAACCAGGATGAAGGTTGGAGCAGTAGAGTTTTAAGCACATATAAAATGTCCTGTTAAAAAGTAAACTGAAACAGCAGAATGTGGACTGTTGGTGTTGTTGTTAATTGCTATCAAGTCAACCTCATCTTATGGTGACCCTATGAATGAGCAACAGACCTCCAAGTCACCCTATCATCAACTGTCCTGCCCAGGTCTAGCAAACTCAGGGTTGTGGATTCCTTGACTGAGTCTATCTATCTACCTGCAATGTGGCTTAGGTCCAAAACACACTGCAGAAATAATCCAGCTTGAGACTGCTTTAACTGCCTTGGCTCAGTACTAGAAAATCCTGGGAACTGTAGTTTATTGTGGCACCAGAGCTCTCTGACAGTGAAGGCTAAATCTCTCACAAAACTAGTTTCCAGAATTCCCTAGCATTGAGCCTGGGCAGTTAAAGTGGTCTCAAACTGGATTATTTCTGCAGTGTGTTTTAGACTTTTCTCTTTTCCAACTAATAATAATAATAATAAGTTTTATTTGTAACCCGCCCCTCTGCTCAGCAATCGGGGCGGCGTACATCAAATTAAAAATAGTACAGTTAAGATCCAGGTTCTTACCCTTCGCCCACTACCCTCCCCCCCTTAAAACAATATTAAACATAGTAGAATTAAAACTGCCTTCTACCTTACCATCATTGTCTTTGTTAATGAGTCACATCATCTCATGATCTTCCCAAAGTACAGCAGTCTCAGTTTAATTATCTAGACATCTTGGGAGAGTTTAGGCCCAATTTGCTCTAATGTTCATTTATTTGTCCTTCTGGCAGTCCACAGTATCCACACAATTCCCTTCCAGCATCCATTTTCAAATGAGTTAATTCTCTTCCTATAAGCTTTCTTCACTATCCTAACTTTCACAACCATCATAGAAATGTGAATCAGAACTACAGTGGCAAGAATGTGGACTACAATCCTGGTATAACAGATGTGTTAGTCCTTAAGATGACACCACCTTCTTTGCTGTAATGGGTCACCACTTTGGAAACTGTTACATCTCCATCTCCTCCTCCAGTCTCCAGCCTGAACTCTTTCGTGATAACTCCAGAGGAAGGCTGATTTAGCCCATATCCATCAACAGAAAATTTATCAGTTGTGTCTCACTCCCCCACCATAAAAATCAGGGAGAAAAATCAGGTCTACATATGTTCAGGCAGTGTGTGTTATACAGTTACAATTGGCTGAGATCTCTCTGATGCCACAACAAACCTAGATAGGCATAAGTGTTACAGGTCCCCTGAGTGCAAGATGGTATCATATAGGAGATATGAGCAGCTTATGGCTGTCATTGCTAAGGAGATCTGGTCAGAGGATGGAAATATTACTTTTTTGAATACTGTTTTCAGAAGCATTCAGCAAGCATGGTTTTGTGTCATTTATGACTTATGGTGACCCTCAGGAAAACCTATCATGGGGTTTTCTTGGCAAGATTTGTTCAGAGTAGGTTTGCCATTGCCTTCTCCTAAAGCTGAGAGCATGTGACATGCCTAAGGTCACCCAGTGGGTTTCATGGCTGAGCTGGGAATTGAACCCTGGTTTCCAGAGTTATAGTCCAACACTCAGACCACTCCGCCACACTGGCTAAGGAGACAGAGTTCAAATGTGTCCTCTTTTGAACTTCTGCTAAATTCAGGTTGAGGTGAAGACATTTTCCTACCCTAGGCAAAGGACCAAAGACCAAAGGAACAGCTCAGGATATATTTTAAAAACATAAGCACCATTGCATGTCATGGGCATATTTGTTGGTTTGTTTATTAAAATATTTATTGTTGCTATTGTTAATTGCCCTTGAATCAACTTCAACTCATGGTGACCGTTTTGATGAGACACCTCCAAGTCCCCCTGTCCTCAGCCTCTCTACTCCAGTCATGCAGCCTCAGGCCTGTG